GCGGAAACACATTTTTAGTTTGCGCACATTTAGTGAAAAACCTTGCGTGGGGAAAATTCCCGATATTGCAAGAACAAATCAAGCTAAAATCGTGGATTGCGTAGCAAAAGCTTAGGAATCTGCGAACACAAGGGGGACATACCGGCAAAGCGAATCGCTTTCTCGTGCTACGAATTTTGGGGCGTTTACGAGTGCGCAAATGCCATTTCGCGCTGGCGTTCCTGACGCAACTTGCACGATGGTGGGCATTTTCATTTCATCCTTCTTCTCGTCCGGAATGCAAGTTCCTCGTTTAACGAGGGTCATCGTTTGACGTATTGTTTTTTCATACGGTTTAATACGGTTCTGAAAGTTTTGAGTACGGTTGTGGGTTGTAACCGATTATAACCGTTTTCTTACGATGTTGAACGTACTGGAGCCCTAAATGCGAACCAGAAATATAAATTGTGACCGTGAACCACTGACCTACTTGAGTGCTGACCCGAAACACAAACAACAACAAGACACGAAACGGGTCATAGTTTACAACCTCCCAGAAAATACTCGCCCCGGCGTTTGACGGGGGCAAGACCTTTCGTGCCATCCTATGAAAACAAGGCGCGAAACCCGCTGCAGTGACAGCTAGAAATCCGCGAAACTAACTGGCTATTTGCAGGAAACAGCCGACATCCACGGATCAATCATGCGCCACCACAGTTCGTACAGTATAGCACACACACTTTTTTTGCGATAGTTAGAGTTTTTGCGCCACCTAGCAGCCAAAATTTTCGAGCCACCCTGTAAAGTATCGCGCGCGAAAATACTCGCAGCTTTTGGGTTAAACCAAACTACAGAAATAGAAGCCGAGCAGCAAAAATCTGGAAGTTGCGAACTCGCCTCGTGATATCCACCCGCGAAGCAGACAACCTTTCGCGTGTGCGTTTTAGGAAGAACACGGTGGACATTTTTTCTGTATCCTGCGGTCAAGTACGGTACAAAACGTTTTACAGCAGTTCCAAGGCTGTAACTGGATATATCGTTGACAACATTTTCACGTCTCGTGACATTTTGAAATGTTATTTTTTTTTTCGCGTCACAACTATCGCTATAATTTTTATGACCATGCTGTTTCCATGGCGGATATTTCACGCCCATAAATTTGTTTCCTTCTCACTATATCAGTCCGTTCATTCGTGATATACACTCGCGACGACGCGGAAACACCACACACAGAGCTAGGTCAGCAGGCAAAACCCGCGAACATTCGGGGTATTTACACGCGCTCGAACATACGTTTCCGCGAATTTTGGTGCCAGTGTCAGAATCCCAACCACTAGACCATTGGGATAAAAGGGCTTGTTTCAGTAGCGGGTCAGTGCGCCCATAACCCCCCAGGCAAACGCGCCTGTAACCCCCCCTAGGATCGATCGGGGATCTCACAGTGTAGCTCTATTGACACCCCCCCACACTGGGAGGCCCAGGACTGAGCACAGTGGCAACGACCAACATGTGCATACACCGGGATTCGAACACGAGACTGCTTTGATACCATGTCAGAATCCCAACCACTAGACCATTGGGATAAAAGGGCCTGTTTTAGTAGCGGGTCAGTGCGCCCATAACCCCTCAAGCAAACGCGCCTGTAACCCCCCCTAGGATCGATCGGGAATCTCACAGTGTAGCTCTACTGACAGCCAGCACTCAGCAATGCATCAACAATTTTTTCCGGTTTAGGGGGGTGGGTGGAGATTTGTTACAACCCGAAACAAAGAGGGGCGCTGGGAAAAAAATCCGCGACTAAGTCCAAGCCCTGTACATTTTCGTGGGAAAAGGGCGTGGCATCGTGGTTGACAAGCGGAACGAAATGTATTTTCGTAAACACAATTCCTTCGCGCTTACACCTTGTGAAATCAGTGCAGGTTGGAATTTTGAGGGGGGGGGGGCAATTTTTATGAGATGCTGCCTCACTTTTCGTTATGACTTTTTGTTTAATCTTTACTTTGTAACGGGGACCTTACACGACGGATCACTGGTGTTTCGAGCCGAACGAGGGTGTGGTCCCCACCACTGAGTCAGCGTGCTTCCCAGGGGCAGTTGAGGCCTCGTGTACCTGGCAGGTGCCGAAGGGTCGGCCCTCCGAAATCACGCTAAGGGGTTGGCCGCGTGCCCCAATGCCATCCTGGTTTCCCTTCGCGTGCTGGGCTAGCGATGCCGAAGGCATCGGCCCCCTCCGGGCCACGGGCTTCGGAAGAAGGGGCCTAGCTTCGGCCCGATTAGAGTGGCAAAAAAAGGCTTATAAAAAACTCAATAGTTACACGTTGACACTTTGACGTCGTCCTCTTCGTTTCCATTGGTTCCTCATCACTGCATTGACAGTTGACGATGGTCGCTCCGTTATCGTTGGTTCTATCATCACTGCATTTTGCTCATGGGGTCCTTTAAACGGGATGCAACTTCCCTCCACCAATTGTTGGTGGTCACTGAATGTACAAGGGCAGGCAAATTCGCAGGCAGCAGTTGAGCATCATGTGTATGCATGTCCTTTTTGAAGTATTCAATCAACCCAAATCAAAAAATTCCGGAGTGGAGCCTTTTGCAAAGGTGCTCAGCACCATGCGAAGGTCTGCGAGGGTCAGTCTCTGTCAAATCAGCAGCAATTTATGGGAGTCCTGGCTGAGTCAGCGCGGAGTATGGTAATGTACATTTAGGTCCTAGGCTGAGTCAGCGCAAAAGATAGCAATGTACAGTAAGGTCCTTGGCAAAGCCAGACTGGTTTGTGCTGAGCTGCGAAGCACGCTGTCATTCCAGTGCTGACAGACAACCCCCCGAGTCACGTGGGTGGCGTGTCGCTATGAAAAAGACAACTAGGGATCACGACAAACGAAGTCCCAACGTAATGCAGGGCGTGTCCGAAGTGAAACGTCGATGGATGTCAGCGGATGTCGGCGAATCCTGACGGTCGGAATCCCCGATCCGATGGCTGATTTTCATCGACATCCCCAAACGGATGTAAGCGGATGTCGACGTTTCACTTCGGACACCCCTTAACACTCTCGGTCGTAGATGCAGAGAGCGAGCTTGCTGTTAGAAGCGAAGGACTTAGGTTGATCTTCCGCGCAGAGACCTGCGCACAGGGGATCCCTCCCCATCCTTGCACCACTACCTTACCCAATTCCAGTGAAGAGAGGACTGCGCTCGCACATCCATCGCGCGGTCATACTCTCTACATTCACTTCGTAAGGTGCGGTCTGGTGGGCAACGGTTGAGATCGGTGGAAAGCTGAAACTGTGTTCAGCCCTGTTCTCACGTACTGAACCGCCCGAGTTCTCGGACAGTGTTTGCGAACAACACCTTTTGCCCACTTCACACACTTCCTTGCCCAAACTCGTGCCCATCTTTCTGCTCAACATACTGAGCTCAGTGTTTTCTCACCATCCTCTCAATTAGACTTGGTCCAGCGCTGGACAACCACCAGCTATAGCAGTAAGCAGTCAAGTAGCACTATATAGAGACCACCTGCGTGTCCGAACCCGTTCTACTGCGTAACAGTAACTCAGAGCGCGATCCGAGAAGAAACAGCGGCGGCCGTGGTGGCAGCCCCCTCGGAGCGGCAGCATGCGGCGCTCCAGTCCGATTCGGGCGGCGGTGAGCCGCCGCCAAGAAATGACGCGTGAGCGCGTGCAGTGCGCGCTGGCACTCGCATGGTCCCTCGCCGTTCTTGCCACATCATCTGTTAATGCACAGCCGCTCCAGGCTACGCAAGGTGAGTCACTTCCGTCCCAGCCCGATTGGATGTCTGGAACGTAGACTCTATGGTTCATGTTGTACCACTCCCCGCCAACTGCACTCCGCACCCATTTCAGTAACGCGCCATTGATAGTTTTTGTAGCATTATCAGAAGCATGGTGTGGCTTCGAAGAAGGCCGTATACCTACTTAGTACGTTTGTTCCTTGCACCTATACCGCCTCGTGACCTTGCTATCAAATCCAGCACCAACTCCCGGATTTCCTTCTCGTCCTCACTCCTCCAACAACTACCCCTCCTCCCTCCACCAACCTGCAGCGCGATTCCTGCAGGACTGCCAGACGGCATGGGGGCAGACCTTTCCTGGATGGAGTGGCGCAACGCCTGAGTGCAGCACTGCTAACGGCATTACATGCGACTGGAGCGGGATGATCCTGGAGATGTGAGAACACCTCGTATCAGTTAGTTGATGACCCTGCAAAGTTCCGGAGTACCCACAGTGACGACCATGTCAGTCACATCCTCGTGCCATGAGCAAGAACCTCTCATTTGAGCTGATTATGGCTGAATAAAAATTGTGTTATTGTATGTTTCAATGCAGATCCATACAGTCCCAGACTCTTCGGGGGAGTATCCCAAGCTCTATCAGCAACCTCAAAAAGTTATCGTATCTGTATGTCCACATCGAAACCTTGACCGCCTGTATGATTGAAGGGCAAGGTTGGACTTGGTGTGCGGATGGGGGAGGGGGGTGGGAGAGGGGGTGTGAGGGGGATGGGGAGAGGAGGATGGGGAGAGCAGGGAGGAGGATGGGGAGAGGAGGATGGTTAGAGGACGAGGAGGATGGGGAGAGGAGAGGGGGGGGGGGGGGGGGGGGGGGGGGGGGGGGGGAGGGGAGGAGGAAGGGAAGGGGGGATAGAACAGTGTGAATTCTGCTGCTCAAAGTTCCTACCATCCCGCTGACTCCTGTTCTGATGTGATCATCCTGTATTTGTTTAACATCTTGAAATTGTGTCTACCAGTGCGGTTTGCTTGCTCCTGTGCTGCTCCTTTTTCACTTTAAGTGAAGCCTGTATCTTACACGATCATCTTCACAGAGAGCTGTACAACAATCAGCTCACTGGCCCCATTCCCCCTGAAGTTTCCAAACTTACGAACCTGGCATACCTGTAAGGAATCCCAGATCACTCTGGTTGGTGTGCGCTTCCCATCTGTTCATCCCGCTCCTGATTCTTCGCGGTTAGTTTCAGCCCTGTGATCACCGCCTTCTCATTTTATGCACATGAGCAATGACTGGCTCGTGACGAGCTGCGAAACTCCTCAACCAGGAACGAACATGGCACAAAAGCCCTTCCCTTCCGTCTGCCCACTGGTTGGCAACCAGTCCTCTCCAGATTTACCCCTACCACCCCCCCCCTCCCCCTCCCTCCCTCCCCCCCTCTCCCCCCCTCCTCCCCCTCTCCCCCCCCCCCTCCCCCCCCCTCTCCCCACCCCCCCTTTCCCACCCCCCTCCCAATCCCCCCAATCCTTCCCCCCCCTTCCCCCCCCTCCCCTCCCCCTCTCCCCCCCCCCCTCTCCTCCACTCCTCCCTCCTCCCCTCCCCCCCTCTCCTCCCCACCTCCTCCCGCCCCCCCTCGCCTCCCCCCCATCCTCCCCCCCCTCTCCCCCAACCCCCCCCTCCCCTCCCTCTCTCCCCTCTCTTCGTTTAATTTTACACCCTTTTCTCGGGTACATTTGGTAAGTGAGTTTTCTATGGACGACCGAGGAAAATCAAGAGAGAACATGACGTCCGAAATGAACATTTTTGGTTTTTTTTTAACCTCTTCACGCCCTGTCGACAAGCCCCAAGGTTCCTTCAGCCTCGTCGAAGGGTCGTGCGTTCAGCTCGTGGCAAGCTCAACAGGAGACGCAGTCTATTGAAGCTGTTCACGTCCACTTGTATACCAGCTCGAGTGGCCAGGCGTGGACTCGGCCGTTCTGTCATGCTCCCGCTGCATAGCGTGGCTATGGACTGGATACATTGTATACATTAGGACACGGTTTTAGGCGGCGGATTGATGAAAGAACGCATGTCTGCAGAAATTAATGCAGTGCGAGTTCGGTCTCTGCTTACCTAGGGCGCCCAGTAGCCTAGGGTGGCGGTTGGTGTATCACAAGTACCATTGGCAAGACAGTGTCCACTACGCTGGTGTACACTGTTCTTTATGTACTAGTATTCCACACTTGGTTTCATTAGAAGTTAACTGCAACCTACATCTGTACCACCTTTCTGATTCCTATTTGTCGCAGAGATCTTGATACAAATCAGCTTACTGGCTCAATCCCTGCTGGAATTGGATCTCTGGCACAACTCGCGTACCTGTAAGGATACCTGTTTGGTGCGCTCCCTTATCTCCTTCACTCGCGCACCTATTCCTCCTGGTTAGTACGTCAACCCGTTTCCCATATTATTTTGTATACACCCAGCAATCCACTTCCATTCCATACAGCTCACACTTCGACGGCGTGTTCACAGTGTGAGTGAACTGCACTGGTTAGACCACTACTGTAGAAAATGATGAGGTTGTGAGAGATTTCTATATCACCATTCGAGGGAAGAATATGAGTGTGGACATTATTACACGTGCCATATGCTGCTTTTAGTACACAGCAACAAAGAGGGTGGGTATGTTTTGATGATATCTGACACAGGATCACACACTCGCCAAGCCAGAAAACGAGTTCAGCATCTGGCAGTAGCCTTGCTAGAGTTGACTGACTGGAAGGTGTACGGCTTTGAGCTTCTCCAGTAATCTTGTACTTTTTAAAGAAGACCCTTCTATTGATTCCACCGCTGCTGACTATCCCTTTGCTTTTGTCTGCCCACATTCCACCACACTGCCATCATGCTACTCTACCTAGTTCCGCCTATCAACGTATGTGCTTGCTCCATCCTTCTCGTGATTTCCATGTAATCCTTGTTTCTTGGCCTGCATGTATTTCACCATCCCAGATGTTTGGAAAATAATAAGCTCACAGGCAGTATCCCATCATCAATCAGCAATTTGAAAGCTCTGGAAGCCCTGTAAGGCCTCTGATATGTTTTGTTTGGTTTCAGTTGTCAAACATTATATGCTATATATTGTCCAACGTCCATTCCTACAGCTTCACTCAGTGTTATATTCTTATTTTCTTAACCTGTCATCATCTCCCAAATGACATACGTGGTACTTGCATGAATGGTATCCGAGTATCCAAGTATGGATGTACACAACTTAAGGAAGCTGCTGAATCACTTGCTTCTAGAGTAAGACCCTGACATTCATGCGGATCATAAAGTGTTACAGGTTTCTTGGCTCGTGATAGCTAGTGATTATTGATTTGTCCTACAAAGGCGTCTAGAGCCGGGAGCTTTACACCAGGGTGGCAAGTCCATGGGTGCGAAAAAAGGTTTACGCAATGGTGACAATGTAACACCACTATTATGCATCTTTCTTTGCCGAATTATTCTCTACTCGTTCTGTCTCTCGGTTCGTCTTCTCTTTTCAATTCACCCATCTCATTTGTTGCCCTGCACCATCGCCATGCAAAAATCCAAACCTCCAAATCGTATTTCTTCCACTTTTGCTCATCCCCAATCTCATTGCCATCCACAGGAGTCTCAGCAGCAATAATCTCACAGGCTCAATTCCCACTGGAATTCGCGACTTCATATTCTTGGAATCCCTGTACGATGACAACATTTTGTCATTCACATTTTATTTCCCTTCTGGGCCTTCAGGGAGGTTGCGCAACCATGCCAATGATGTGACAATCTTTTCTGAAATTGAGACAGCGGGCATAGTAATAACAACGCTCTAAAAGAAAAGAATGTCATGTGTTCATGTCCTGCAGTTCTTCATATTTTATCAGCTCCTCCCACCTGCCATCGATCATATCAATGAAGTCTTCCTTCCATTCTTCACAATCTCAGGACAATGAGGGGAAATCAGCTATCTGGCTCCATTCCGACTAGCATTGGCTCGTTGACTGCACTTAAAGAACTGTATGGACATGACACTCCACTCACAACGTTTATACCATCTCTCATATCAAAAACCTTGTTCGTGCTCATCTGCACGTTCTGTGTGATGCACAGCCTGGTTTGTTCCAACTTCGGCTCTAGCAAATAATATATACTCGAGCGCCTGTGGGCCATGTAAAAGGCATCCTCTGCGCCTTAATCGCACCCTTGTTTCGACCCAGTGGGTAGCAATGCGTTACATGTGCGTTCGTTTCCTATAATGTTGCTATCACCCGTTCTAGGTGATGTCTTCCCCTTGCCTATCTTTTTAGCTCGAAGTTTTCCATTTCGAAGCCGTTTGTTGCCTCTTAAGGATATCTTCACACATCGCAGCCCTTTGTTGCCCCTTCAAGAATATATTCACACATCGCAACCCATACACAAACCCCCCTGTTTACTTGTTTTTATTGTGTACTGTGTTCATCATACCTTGAAATATGTGAAAAGTATTCTGTCTGTACCCCATTCTGTAACCCTACACTATCCCTCACATTTTCCAGGGAAAATGTGTGCAGTGTGGCTCCATCTGGATTTTATAGAAGATAGAATTGATGAGAAAATTTAAACGCTCTCTATGTTTTTTCTTGTTGGATGACTATAATTTGCACGTGTCTGTCCATACAGATTACTCAATGATAATCAGCTCACAGGCCCAATTCCCTCAGAAATTGGCAATCTTGTCGAGCTTACATTCTTGTAAGGCGTCTGTCCTCTGTACAAACTACACTTCTCGCTTATGATCAATCTTGTTCCATGTGTTATGGCCTGTAAATTCTCATGCTGCAGTTCCTTGTTTTATCAAGCAATTAGTCCAAAGCACCAGTGAACAAGTGGTAAACTTGCAATATTCCTGCCTTTGTGTTTTACATACCGCAGTTATCTCTATGACAATGGCCTTTCTAGCTCCATTCCCGACACAATCGGCTTGCTTACAAACCTGTTGGCCCTGTGAGGAGTATGCTTAGACTCCCAGAACTTAGTATCACCCCACATCTCCTCTCTAAAGACTTTTCCTGTTATTGCCAGTCGTCTTATAACTTGCAGCGCAGCTCACATTGAGCGCTGGGCAGTGGGAGGGGTGCACAAAGGACGTTTTTGTTTTGTTTTGTTTTGTTGTTTTTCCACGTTACAATACTCCCAATTTCCATACTCCACCTTATATCTACCACTATCCCCCGCCGTCTTCACACATCACGTTCATAGAAGAAACGAGATTATGCATCCATCACATGTGTGGTATCAACGAGGGGTTAATGTCTATGTTTGGAATTGAAATTCGTGTTCATCATTACAGGGGACTATATAACAATGAGCTCAGTGGATCAATCCCTTCTGGAATAGGCGATCTTGCAGACCTGGCATACCTGTAAGACCTTTCCTGCTTTGTGTAAGACCTTAAAGAACCCCCCCTCCTCCCTCTCCCTCCCACCTCCCTCCCGTAACCTTTTACCCTCCTCTCTCCCCCCCCCCCCCTCCCTCTCTTCCCTTGAACCATTCCCCTGTTTCTGTTGTTTCTTAACCCCCCTTTATCACGTCATCCTTGCTCTCTCTCCCTAACCCCTCCGTCCCCTCTTCCCTTTCTGCACCCCTTGTTCACCCCTATCATGAATCTTCCTGCTTCTTGTTATGTCATCATCTCTTTACTCACAAACCGTATCCTATCCCTTACATCACCTTTGACGTTTCATTCCACATGAACTTGCATTGCTATTCGTCTTTGTACCATTCCTGATCAGGAATCTTCACAACAATAAGCTTACCGGGTCAATTCCTGCAACCATCCGCGATTTGATATTTCTGGAATCTCTGTACGGCCATTGTATCTTGGTAAACGTGTATGTGGTGTGAACGATTGCACGTGGGTGCAAGACACCAGAGAATTGAGGTATTAGGGTCACTATTTGTATAAATCAACGTAGCTTAGGTCCTTGCAGAACACGTGAGATTCCATACCATGATAACCAGTGAATCAGGGATACAACTGTTGAAACCATACCCTGGCACTGACTTTAGGGGACTGGGTTTTCCAACATCACACATGTTGGATTTTAAGCCCTTGCAGGAACAGGGTGGTCCAAGATCCTACTTTCTGAGAACCACGGACGAACTTCCAATACTGTCACAAGTGTGGAACTCATTTCCAAAACTGTCACAATAAGCCTACGCAGGCTTGTCTCATTGTTATGGGCGTGTCACATTGGTGGTAGCTGTCCAAATACCAGCAGTTTTGTATGTTTGTTCAATGGCGGCTTATTATCCGTCCTAGCAATAAAAAAGGGGGTAATATAACATTCTTGAGCTATGTGTGTTACTTCAAACACACTAACTCATGCATTCAAACAGCACCAAGTGCTGGTGAGGTGCAATATGAATGCGAGTGTTGAGAACTTCTCGGTGGGCCTTGACATTTTTGTGGTTAGCAGTGCAACATAGTTCTATTTTTGCATGTGACGTAGAAGAAATTGTTCACACGCTTAACTGGTTTATATCTGACTTTCTGCTTGTCCTACTATCCCCCCCCCCCCCCCCACACACACCAACTCACTGCCTCCAACTCACCTCCCTACCTTCGCCTCTCTTCTCCCCCCCACTTCGTCCCTCGTCTCTTGATTCATTGCATATGCACTGTACAATGACAGGACACTTGGAGGAAATCAGCTCACAGGCTCCATCCCAAGTTCAATTGGATCATTTACAACATTAACGGAACTGTACTTCATTTCTCCTTACTTTTCGACCTTTGTCCAATTCGTTCCATTTTGTTTCAACATTCACATATTGCTAATCCAGTCACTGACATAGTCTTTTTTCCTCTGTTCTTCCATACTTTTAGCAGCACACTAGACGCAGTGTCGATTCCAGCAAATACGAGCATATGCTCATATGAATAACACTGACAAGAATCATGGTGTTGTTCTTTCTGTTCTTATTAGGTGCGAATAGATGTGAATGTTCCT